AATGTTGTGCCTTGTCCTTGGTGTTTGTTTTCAATATCTCGATATTAGGTTTCTAACCATCGTATCTCTTGTTTCCGTGTTGTTACAGCGACGGCGCCGACAAACGAGGCCAACATTCCCGTGTTGCTGAGTGTGGCGCCATTGGGCAGGGTGCCCATGACCAAGGAGCACGACTATCAGTATCAGATGCTCCAGGTCGGTACAGTATGCGAGAGAGGCGGGCTCGAATCCCGTCATGGGAGTGACGGGGTGGAGATTTGACGGGTATTTGTCTTTTTCGGACCAGGATGACGTGTAGTTGGAGGCTTTTGAGTTTGCGACAGTCAAACGCCCATTTAAATCTTTCCTTCCCCGTCAGCAGAACGTTTTGTGACTTGCTTGTCGCGGCCGTCAAATTCAACATTGCAGGGGTTAGAAAAAGTGTCGTGGCATCCCGTTTTACCCGTACATGTAATCATTCGTAAGTCTAGAGACTTGTTATTCGTCCTCTCAGCGCCGGATAGGACCGGCCTGTAGCCCCACGAGGTGAAGCTCCTTGTGGCGGAGGTGGCCGGCGGCCAAAGCCGCGCCCCTCAGCTGCTGCTCCGGTCGCCGGTATACGCTGTCTGCCAGTCGCAGGCGGGCGCCGGCCAGGCAGAGGGACCTGAGCGGAACGTGGGTGTCGGCATCCTCCCTGCAGGCAGACGAGGCAGCGGGCTGCGGGGCACACCCTGCAGTGACGCAGGAGAGTCGCCCTGTGCGCTGGTGAGACCTGTGAACCCTGTACCGCTCTGGCCTGGCGCTGTATGCCCTCTGACTGTCCCGTGTGTCCCGGCAGGCGGCGTTCTACCACATGCCTCATCCGTCAGACTCGGAACGGCTGAGGTCATATCTGCCGCGGAACCCGTACCCCACGCCGCCCTACTACCCCCAGGTTAGTGAGAGAATACCCTACTCTAGGGTCATTTTGGACCCGTGCCCCACGCCGCCCTACTACCCCCAGGTTAGTGAGAGAATACCCTACTCTAGGGTCATAATTTTGAACCCGTACCCCACGCCGCCCTACTACCCCCAGGTCGGTGAGAGAATTATTCCCCAGGTCAGTGAGAATTACCCTACTACCCCTTACGTGACCTACTATCTCAGGTTACTACCCTTGGGTTATAACTACCCTAGTTCAGTTAGAGATACCCTTGACAGGCTGCCACCCCAGGTCAGCAACCCAGGTCAGTTATACCCTGCTACCGCCAAGTCATTAGGAACGCCATCCTTTTCCCTATCGGGATCATTAGTAACCCTACCCCTGCAGCTGGCCAGCTTACGTCAAGTTTCTAGAAACCCTTCTCTCGCGCCTATCGATGACGAACTGTGTTGTGCGTAGACTGTATCTTCTATCACACATGCTACCAATGATCACCACATTAATAGACGATTGTAGAGACGTGCCATTTGAGCATAAGGTCTTTTTACGTAGACCTTTTCGTGTTCTTAATCGATTGCTGAATTGTTTGCGAATGTAGAGACGTGTCAGTTGAGCATAAGGTCTTTTTACGTAGACCTTTGCGTGTTCTTAGTCGATTGCTGAGTTGATTTTCGATTGTGAATATTTTTTTCGTTTGGCGTATGATTGAATTGAACTCCGCTCGCTCAAAATGACGTGCGAACTGTTCACAATGGCTGCAGATGTTATATCTGTGTTTTGTTTAAAAGTTGTGGAATTATCGGTTTGGACACGAATACCGTTTGTGACATAATGATCTTTTTCAGGTGCCGCCACCTGGAAGCGATTCCATCGAGTTTTTTCTCAAGTTGTCAGTTGAGACCCTGTTCTTTATCTTCTATTATATGGAAGGTAAGGAGCGTTTGCTCGTCTGTGCATGAAGGGGCTATTTCCCGTCAAAGGTTAATCCAGCAGTTTTTTTTTCTTGCGTGGGGGGGGGGGGAGGATGGATTGAATCAATAGACAATAGAACCCACCAGACTGGCTAAAGTGTAGCTGGGCGTGGGTTTGAAGGCAAGGTGTGCCTTACGATTTCTGTGGAGGGGGAGGGGATTGAAATCACACTCGGGGCCTTTTTAGTGTCATGACGACCTCATGACCTGCCGCCCTGGAATCTTCCCCTGGTCCCTTCTGTCTGTTTCTCGCTGCAGGCATTTCTCGCTTTAGCTGACCGTGGCGTCTCTCTCTCTGCGTGTTGCCAGGTACGAAGGCGCAGTATCTGGCAGCCAAGGCGCTCAAGAAGCAGTCGTGGAGGTTTCACACCAAGTACATGATGTGGTTCCAGAGGCACGAGGAGCCCAAGGTTATCACCGACGAGTTTGAACAGGTGCGCCGGGGGCGCTAATCGACCACACTGTCCCCGTCCTTAACTGCAACCCTTCTGGACCCTGCCGCCGTGCAAAGGCTAAAACGATTACGTCGGGTCAGAGGTCATCGCCACAGGCCAGAGATTAACTCAACGTAATCGGTTTTGCCTTTGTACGGCAGGTGGTACTATGACTACCGCGATATGGTAATACGTTCTTGAAAATTGCTTGTGGGCTTGCTTTCATTCTGTTAATGCTATCTACTTATTCCAAATCGCTCTGGAAGTTTCCAGTGTTGTCATTTGGTATTGGTTTTGCATCTTGTTTCCACCTACGTTTACCTATCAGAAGAGAAGGGGAATGATAAAACGTCCACTGCCTGTTTTGGTCTAGTGCACCATCAGTGCTCGCTCGGAGGTCATTTTTTATAGCAATTGTGATCAAGCATCAGATAATTTTGTCGCCTGTATGTTTCGTGTCTTAAACATCAGGTCCTCCGTTTCTCTGTTTCGACCCGCTTAAGTGCGCGTGCTCTCAGCTCACCCAGCCCCTCTCCACCCAGGGCACATACGTGTACTTCGACTTCGAAAAGTGGAGCCAGCGCAAGAAAGAGGGCTTCAAGTTCGAATACAAATTCCTTGAGGACAGGGACCTGAACTGAGCGAGACAGAGCGTAAACTGTGAGAGAGCCAGAGTAAACTGAGATACAGATGGTGCGCGCGCGCATATACAAAGAGCGCCGGGTGAGCCGCCGGCGCTCGCGCGCCTGTGCGACTCTCAGGGCGCCCGCCGCGCCGCCGCCGCCGCCTCCGTCCGTGCGCCGCCGGCTGCCGGCCGCCGCGCGCCGCGCCGTCTTTTGTTTGTGTTGTTACTATTACCCACCCGGGCGCGGCGCGCGCGCGCGCGCGCGCGTGCGCTCCGGAGCTTTACAGTGAAGTGTGTCCCGCGCTGGGGACTGCAGCTGTGATATATTTTGGCGGGCGCGCGGTGAGCCGGCGTCCGGCGCCGACCGGGGGGAGCGGCGGTCCGTAGCGGACCGGCGGCGGAACGCTCATCAGCACAGCCGCATTTATAAATAAAACTTGTCCATGTGGTGCGGACTTTCGAGGGTGCGAGGGTGCTAGTTATCGCTTATTTATTCGTCACGATCCTGTTTCCGACTTATTTGGTCGCCTCCATCAGCTAGAAGACGGAGGATCATTAACGATCTTTGATAGGAGCTTGACTATCAGACAAAGTCGTGAGGGACCAATTGGTGCCGGAGTCAGACGCGCTAGTCAGGTAGGGTGGCGCTGGATTTGAAACGAGACTGTGACAAAGTGCTCTACCAGACGGTAAAAGTAAGCCTTTTAGTGAATGCTTCGTCGTTAGGATGAATGACATGCAAATCTGAGACGAAATGTGAGGTGTCAGTCTTGGACTTTCAGGGAAAGAAACGCGTCGTTAGGATGAATGACATGCAAATCTGAGACGAAATGTGAGGTGTCAGTCTTGGACTTTCAGGGAAAGAAACGCGAGAAATGACCATGCAAGATGGATCAGGGCGAGACATGGCTATAATTGCAATGGCATGACGGCAGGGGCAATGCGGCGGACAGAACAACGCCGGTACTGTGAGAACCAGCGCAGATTGGGTCCCTCAACGTCGAGGTGAGAGGTGAGGCGATCCTCGTCCCAGATGGCGCGACGGTGGCAGGTCAGGATCCAGCTGCATCGGGGCCCTGTTTTGCGGCACGCCGCTAGCGGTTATTAGCGCGTCACGAGAGCTGACGTAGGTTGTGGTCAAGTCATGCGACGGGGGCTTAGTCACGGTTTCTATGAGCTCTCCAATAGCGTCATCTCAGTAATCGTGTTTTTTTCAGCGTCCGACTTCGAAAAATGTCACTATGGATACAGGAATCGCCATCGGCGCTGGTTGCCGCTAACAACGTGCCTTGAAACAGAGCACAGGTATTGCAATTTCGTTATAAATGTTTTTATTGTGTCAGGGATAGTTTCTGGACGTGAGGCCTTTTTAGAGCGCAATGAGGGCGATGGAGTCTACATAAAGGTTGATTGTGCTGGCAGGTAAATCTACGAATAACACGGATCAAAGTGACTGACGGTCGCATCATATACTGTGGCCGGTACGGATGAGAGAACAGACTATCAAATATTGTCGGCCTCAGCGTTCAAATAAGTCTTATTTTTTTTTTTACACAGCCGTGTTCGAAGGGTCAATCCAGCGAAGAGCACGAACCACTCAGAGTTGTGAAAATCGGGGGAAGTCCCGCGACTGCGCTGAAAACTCCCAAGCTCTCCGAACAGGTTCTCCGGTCGCCTCCAAGCCTGAGGCCTGTTTCACTAAAAACTTGCGATTACAAGTGTTGGAACTTTACAATTCATAAGTATTTTTGCAAACTATGTAAAATCGGGTTTCACTAAACTTCATCACCAGCGGCACCTCCGATAAAAAGAGTTGGTAAATAAACTTGTAAACAATAAAATTGTTTTTAATCAAGAACTTTAACATGTTACAGATATTGCTTCTTTTTATCAAACTATGTCTAGTTTTCATGTCAGAAATTGCAGGAATAAATTAAAAATAATGATGCTGTTTCTGAGTGGTATAAATGATAGTTCACAATATCTTATTATTGAAAGAAAATAACACGTAAAACATTTGACAGCAGAAGACTGTTGAATGCAATTATGGCGCGCGAATGACAAAACATGACGATATTTATTTATTGCTCGTAGCTGGTTCGTAGGGAATGTGCTAAGTGAAAAAGAGCATATAATGACTCAGCATATCATATTTGTTTTAAAGAATTGATTGCTTTGCATCATTGCACAAAAAGTATCAAAATTCCGAACGTCAGGACCACTGGAATTTCAGGTTTGTAATTACGATGTTTTCTTTCAAGTTTCTGGTCTTCGTGAAACAGAAAGTTTGCGATTCCCGTGTTTTCTAGCAAACTTTTTCTTGTAAAAAAGTTTGCAAATTTTAAACTCAAAATTCATGCCCGAAGGTTTCGTGAAATCCAAATTTCAAATGTTGGTAATTATTTCTTTTAAACTCAAGTTTTTTCTTTGTAATTACACACTTTATTTGTTAGTGAAACAGGCCTCAGATGTGAATGAAACTCGGGCACAGACAAGACGTCCAGCTTGTGGGATGTATTGATGTCATCGAGCTGGCAAGATTCCATGACGGTTTTTCGTCCAGCAGATTTTCGTCGGACAATTTTTCGTCCGCAGATTTTCGTCCGACTTTTTTCGTCTCGCATTTTTTCGTCTGTGCATTTTTTCGTCTGTACATTTTTTCGTCCGTACATTTTTTCGTCCGGACATTTTTTCGTTCGTATATTTTTTCGTCTGTGCGTTTTTTCGTCCGGACATTTTTTCGTCTACAATTTTAACGTAACCTAACCTAACCTAACCTAACCTAACCAAACCTAACCTAACCTAACCTTACCTAACCTTACCTACTGATGTTTGCCTACCGAGGGATAAGGAAAAAGTTACTTGCATGAATAGATTGCAAGCAATGGTAAGTCAAATATTTTTAGGTTAAGTGGTTATGCATCAGGCTTCAGGCCTTCGGCCTGAAGCCAGATACACAACCACTTAACCTAAAAATATTTGACTTACCATTGCCTGTAATCTCTCCTAAGGCATTGCCTTCGGCACTGCACTGCTTCGCCCCGAGTATTATTATGACGTCATTTGCCTCCACAGTTGAATAGCATTGTCGTATGTTTTCACTCAACCTTGGGTGAACAGACGTAAAATTTATTGAACGAAAAAATGTCCGGACGAAAATATGTACGGACGAAAAAATATACGAACGAAAAAATGTCCGGACGAAAAAATGTACAGACGAAAAAATGTACAGACGAAAAAATGCACAGACGAAAAAATGTACAGACGAAAAAATGCGAGACGAAAAAAAGTCGGACGAAAATCTGCGGACGAAAAACTGTCCGACGAAAAAATGTCAGACCAAATTTTGTCCGGACACGAGCTGGCAAGATCGATACAAGTTGATCGGAATAAAATAAAACGGCGTTCCTGAGCTTCATAAATAGGCATTTTTTAGTTAGCGATGTGTTCGTAAGAATACGTGCGAACAGTGATTTATAACTCGTATGTACCACACAGATCTTCACTCAAGTATAAGTACGAACAGCCGTCCCATCTGTCTCACGGACATCTCTAAAAAGCCTGAGCCCCGGACGCAAAGGCAGGCTGTGACATGACATTCGCGCTTCTATTCGTGCGAAAATAAATACATTTATAAGCGCCACAATAGCATGTGATGAGCGGGAACACGCATAAAGGCCGCAGTATCTGCGCGGTTCACGATAGAGAACGTCTCGCAGCAGCAAAGTAGCACTTTGAAGTGCGACGCGATAGCAATACGTTGACAAATATCGTTGCACCGTCCTAAAGTAGGAAACAATCTAAAAACGTCAGATGTTCAGTCTCCGTAGAGTAAACTGAACAAGAGGCGTTCTATCAAACGCACCAGAGTAGAATACGAACAAAAGCGATATCAGCGCCTTGAGGAACGTGGGCGCATGTCATGCTGGGGCAATCAGTATCGAGAAACTTAGAACTGAAAACTGTTACCCGTGTCCCTCCAAAGCTGGGCCGGATTACGAATAAATGACGTTTAGCACTTAGAACAAATATATCGCGACAAACAACGTTCACTGAACCTGAATACGTCATGTCGGGAACATCGCACCAATAGAAACGTGACGTGGTAGCTGAGTCGTAGCACGCGCCTTCGTTGATGACACGCCTCTCATTTCACTTGACGCTCCAAAACGCCCCCTCCCCCGTCCCCACACCACAGGTACGAAATAAGAGTACACCACACGGCCCTTAATCCCTCTGTAGAACACTCTCTGCCTCCCTCCCTCACTCCCTCCTTCCCTACTTCTCTACCCGTCTACATACCAGTCTCTTCCCCCTCTCCCTCCCCCCCCCGGGCGCCGACCGGTCGGGTCACGCCGGTAGCGGTGCCGGGACGCCGCGGTCGGGGCGTACCTTCGGCCCAGTGGGTCCGCCGCAGCGGTCTGCCCACTGAGCGTCATCCGACACCGACTCAGGAGCCGCCCGGCGCCGCCACCGCCGTGTGCTTGTTTGTTCGATTTGCTTCCCTATTTCTGTTTTGTTTCGGTTTGCCAGTTTCGTTTGAACCAGTGACGGATCACGGACAAATCTGGTTACCTTTGACTTTATAAGCGTGGACCGCAGGCTGCATTTCAAGTAATTAGTACTGTCATTTCTGACGCGGATTCAGATCCGTGTGTAAACGAATGACCAATATTTGCGTCCAGTGTTCGTGCGATAGTCAGCACTCCATGGTTGTCTCACCCATGCCTTATCGACAGCGTCCGCCCACCAATTTCCGTTCTCGCCGCCCGACCGGCCGGCCCCGCGATAGTTTCCACAATCCACATCTTCACCGCTTACTGCTTCTTCACATCACCGGAGGCCGACCCCGTGCTGGTGCCGTTGGCAGCGCCCTCACGCTTGATGACCTCTGAAAAGGTCAGGTCACATCGGTCAACAAGTTTGATGACCTCTATAAAGGTCGGCTCACACCGGAAAATGTTTGACATCAGGACGTAATGTAGGTTACCGGGTTTTGAACATTAAAGACTTCAAGGAACAGGGTCAATTGTAAGAAGTCCACGAATAAATGAATGTGAAAAGGTATGAGGTTGCAGAGCAATATAAGGCGATAGTTACGGCCTGCGACAGACAGACGATAACATCCTGCTCAGTGGGCCTGGGTGCCGTCTAAACATGTACAAATAAACAGACAGTGTAACCGAAACTACATCAAAGTAAGAACAAAAATATGAGCGTTCATTTACATTACATACTTATCTCACCCACTACAATTATAGATCAGAGTTCAATATTGTTAGAAAAGATTTAGATTTTAATATCATTTTGGTTTGCAACTATTGGCCATCAGATTTTATAGATCAGAGTTCATTTCACATCATTTCTTCTGTTACAGCTCCGGGTTCAAACACAAGAAAACCGTCGCCGCCAGATGAACACGCAATCTCACCTTTGTGAGGTACAAACTTGAGGGCGTGAGAGAATATTCAGAAGCGCGAGCCGCCCTTGGGGCCGTCTCCGATGAACTCGTGACCCAGGCCGTTACCGCACTTTCCGCACAGCACCTGTGAGTGGGCGGACAGAGGTCGGCTCAGGTCAGGTGAGTGCGCTGGGGGGGGGGGGGGGGTGGGGTGGCAGGTCGTAGACTCAAGGGGAATAGTCGGGTCGGCGCCATTCTTACCTGATATCGTACGTATACCTACCAAATCTACCTCGTAACGCATTGTTTAAACACTCAATGTGATATCATAGTTGCTTCTATGACAACTTAGCTAGCAAACAAGTTCAGCAGGAACAATGGAAATCAAGCCAAGTAAGCACACCGTTCTTGTTATCCCTTAGCATATCTTATGACGGATTTCATAATGTTGCATTATTGTGAATATAGTCTGAACGTTTTACATTAAATGATAGGCAATCTGTTTGAAGAAAACATAAATGCCATGACACAGCCCGTGCCACCCACCCCACCCATTCCTACGGAAGCCCCCCCCCCCCCCACTGCTACTGCGCACTGGTCTTTGACCCAAGATCCTGTCCCCTCCCCGACTTCCTGTTCCCGGTGCGGCCAAATGACGACAGAGGAAGGCCGCGGTGATGATTGGAACTACCGACACCACCGGACAGACAGACGGACGGAACAGACTCGGCCACCGGCGGAAGTACCAACTCGACAAGAAGCGCATGCTTATCATTAATCCACATTCAAATTCATGCTGAATAAACCGAGCGACAGCTAGTCAACAAGGTTGATTACCTACCAATTTATCAAAACTGCGATACTCGAAGTCACTATTTATTCAGAAGATTTACAACTAAATGTCCATGCAATATAATTTTCATGATCGTTCCTTCAGCATTTTTTTGGTTCGAAATCGTCCGATGAGTATTTATCTTTTCGATAGGTGCCATAGTGTTTTGAATGGCTCGTTAAACCAGGGTATATTCGTTAAACTACCTCAGTCATCGTTTTAGTTCGTACTCGTTACGGTATACTCGTACACCCTCATTGTTCAGCTACTCGTTCTCAATGTCGTCTTCGCACCTCCCTATTCTTTTCCGTATCCTTTTTCGTACCAATCAACAAAATTCATAATACTAAATGGTTTCTCCCTATATTTTGTCACACACCCTACCAATTGTGCTAGTAGTCACGTTCTCTGGTTGCACTCAAAGGAAACATACCAGAACCACTTTCCTGAAATTGGTTTTTTGCTATTTTTATGACGCTGTATTTCTATGGACACTGTACATTTTGCGACGGTTGCGCATACCTTCATTTTGCTAACCATACAAATATATGCAGGCAGTACACTGCCAAATTCACAGAGGTCTTTACAGTTCACAGCATAAGCACGAATATAGCAGCAACAGCACGAATGCAGCCTACACATACATGTACACAATACACAATACGCAATAAAAATGTACAATGTAAATTGTAATATACACAATACACATCAATACAAACCAAACACATTGCGAAATGCGATAGATACACAAATACCTGTCGGGGCATCAGAGAAGCTTTCCGTGCCATCACACTTCACAGTGAATGTCCACATTCCGTGAGAAGTCCCCTGCCCCCTCCCTTCACACACACTGCACGCACTGTCTCCGGACAGAGTCGAGAATACCTGACCCGGTCTATTACAGGGATAATATAAAGCAGAAAATCACGAATACAGCCTACGCATGTACAATACACATAATTGAAAACCTTCATTACACACATTGTACAAACGAGGCACACAAACACCTCAGAGAAGTTTTCCCAGCCACCACAGTGACTGTGAGAAGTCTACTATCACCCTCTCCTCACAGTTCACAGTTCACACACTGTCTCCGGGCAGAGTCGAGTATACCTGGCCCCGTCTCGTGTGTGTCCATTGTTCGTCAGGCACTAGAATCTGAGGTAGTTTGGCCGTCCAGACTGATGAAGTTCAGCTTAGTCTGGCCTCCCCGATTGGAGACTTGGGTAGTCTGACCGTCCAGACTGGTGGAGTTACGTTCTGTTGCTGCGTTGACCAGACTCTCCTAGACACCGTAGTGCCTTTCCCAGCACATTCCCGATTTTGCTCATCTTCGAGCAGGCCACTCTCTCTTCCTCCTCTTCTCTCTGTCTGCCCCTCTCTCTCTCTCTCTCTCTCTCACTCACTCACTCACTCACTCACTCACTCACTCACTCACTCACTCACTCACTCACTCACTCACTCACTCACTCACTCACTCACTCACTCACTCACTCACTCACTTTCCCTCAGTCTGTCTGGTCTGTCCGGTCTGTCCGTCTCTCTCTCTCTCGCTCTCTCTCTCTCTCTCTCTCTCTCTCTCTCTCTCTCTCTCTCTCTCTCTCTCTCTCTCTCGCTCTCTCTCTCTCTCTCTCTCTCTCTCTCTCTCTCTCTCTCTCTCTCTCTCTCACTCTTTCTTTCCGGAGGAACTCCACCATTTTCTGTGGGGTCTCGGGGGCGGACGTAGACCGGGCAGTCGGTGAGCGGGTGCTCCACGCTGTCCGGCTCGGCACAGGCGGGGCAGCGGTCGTCCCCTTTCTGTCTTCCTTTTCTCCCTCTCCGTCTTTGTCCTTTCTATCTTCCTCCTTTCCCTCGCTGTCTGTGTACTTTCTGTCTTCCTCAGCTCCCTCTTCGTCCTTGTCCTCTCTGTGTTCCTCCTCTTCTCCCTCGCTGTCCGTGTCCCGGCCATGCTCGGCGAACCAGTCGGTCTCCCTGCAGCGCGCCGGCAGCGACTCCCAGCGGAAGGTGTCGAGGAACCGCTCCGACCAGAGGCGGCCCTCCACCGCCGCCGGGTACAGTCCGCAGGCCCAGAGCTGCGGGTCGATCCGCCCTCTTCTATAACACGTCGCCAGGAAGGGGCCGTGGACTCTGCGCTTCCAGCAGCACCAGAGCATCTGCTGCGCGTCCAGAGGGAGGTTCAGCAGGTGGCGCATCAGCGGCGCCTGGCTCGAGCTCAGCAGACCAGCCAGCAGCAGCTGAATGGCGCGCGGAAGCTGCACTCGTAGCCTTAACACTGAAGTAAAAGTAAAAAATGTGTAGGATCTCCACAGGTTGGTCTCAGGAGCGAAGTAGCACGGCAGAGCACCCTGCTCCGCACACTCCAGAAGAAAGTCGAGAACGGCCATCATTGACTCCAGCATCCCGTCCCAGGTCCAGAGCTCTGGCGCACGTCGCTCGCAGACCCACATCACCGCCGTCTTCAGCTCGTAGCTGCACAGGGATTCCTTGACCCAAGCGTACTGTCTACTTCCCGTCACTGCAGCACAGTGTTTGAGCAGGACCAGACAGATCCGCTGGGGCTTGGTCATAGAACGGATCACCTCCGACTCGAGAAGTGAAAACGATTTACGAAATTTACGACCCGTTTGGACCAGGTATATGGGCATCTTCTGTAGCCTATCCACCAAGTCTTTGCTCGGCTGTCCCGACGGTCGCTCTCGGTTCACAAACTCGTCACCGACTCGCTCAGGGTACTGGAGGCAGGGGACGAGGTCAATGCTGTCACCATTGAGGGTTACTTCAATGTTCGGCCCGGCATTGTCTTTGATGTGTTTCACACGTCCTTCCATAGCTGCGGCTACATGTGATTTGATATATTCGAATGTGAATTCACGTCCGACAAAGTCGTCGCCCTCCCGCTGAAGATGGCGAACCCTCACGAAACCCGGCTCATCTTTAGGTTCTGCTGCCTGCAGAGTTCCAATCTGAATTGGACTTTTTGAGTCTACGCTGCCGTCCTCACACTGTTCTCTAGAGCTGTTTGTTTGAGCGTTGGGGTCATCTTGCAGTCTCTGAACCACACAACTCATCGTTTGAGTCAGGCCGTGGATTACACGATAACTGTGCTGCATTTGTGACCTCATCCGGTGTGAAGGTCCCATCGAGGGCTGTTGTAAAACACGAAAACCCCCGGTCTGGCTCTGCGTCGGTAGGGACACACTCTGTTCCGGAAAATCTATCGGCTTTTTGTCAGGGCCGCTCCGCGACCGCCTTTCTTCCCAGCTCAGTGGCCCAACTTCGAGCATGTAGTCAATGTCAGAGGCATGTTTGAACGTATCAGCAGATAGGTCAACAATTGTTTCTTCGATCCAATGCGGCATAGCAAAGCCGTCCTTACTCGCCCAGTCAAACGCCTGCACTGTTTTACAAGACGAGAGGTCATTTTTGGTGATATAAACCTCAGTTTGTTCGCTCACGCTACCTGACACGAACGATTGGATGCTGGGCTTGCATGGATCGGCCTCACCGTCCTCCTTTCCCCAGTTTGGCAGGTGCTCCTTTTCGCTGTTTGCTGACGATTCTTGTCCACATTGTGAACTGAAGTCTACGACCTGTAAAACGTCTTGAAATTGCTTCTTGTAATCATGCGCCCGATGTGTGCTGTGTGACTTGGAGAGCAGTTGCTCTCTCCATCGAAGGACTCTTCCTACAGCTGAAGCCATTTCAGCCAGTGCCTGTGGAGGATTCATTGCTCTCCGGATTCCCTCCACCTCAGGGGCACTCGTGCAGCTCTTCCCGGGCTCTTCTCTGGTGGCCTGGGGGTTTGTGTTTTCCACTCTTCTATCGACTCTTCTTCTTCTTATTATTCTTCTTCTTCGTAAGTAAACCGGAACCATCTTGATGATAAGGTTCACTTGGGTTCTGCTTTCAATCACCTCTAAAAGGCTGATCAATTTCTCAGCTTTGGTGGCAAACGGGGATGTATAGGTATACAAACTTCTATCTTCCTTTCTCAGAGCTTCTCGTAGTCTTACTCTGTCTTCTTTAGATAGCTGATCCTCCAGTTGATCCAGAGCATCCGCTTGAACAGGCCGTTCAGCTGGGCTTTCGTTTCGCTTCACACCAACATGCTCTAGCTTCATCCTTTTGACAGTTTTTGATGCATTTACAAGTGTGTAAACGTCAGCTTTCTCATTTAATATTTCTTCGAAGTCGTCAAACTCGGACAAATTAGCATAGACATCACGAGTCCACCGTTTGTACATTTCTTGCATCTCAAGCTCGATCCGCAGTTCTTCCTTGTCCACGGTGTCCTCGCCAGTGGACGTGCTGCACTCGGCCTCCCCCGGCTCACCTCCGTTCAGCAGGTCCCGGTACAGTGCCAGAACACACGCCTCTTCATTCGGCAGCACACCTCCGCCCAGCACGCTCCTGTATGTTTCTCTGGTGTTTATCTCCTCAAAGGGTCTCCACTCCTCAAGTTTCGGGTAGGCCTTGGAGCGCGCCAGCGCCGCCCGCGCGGCCGCCATCTCAGCAGGATCATCTTCCGGTGCTTCCAACACTCGCGTCAGGGCCGCTATACGCTCATCGACACTGGCCTCGATACAAAGGCGGACGTCCCTCGCCTCTGTGGATACATCATCCCTCGAGCCCTCCAGCTCTTGGACGTCAGTTTGTGGTACCGCCTGCAGGGCAGCAGCCAGCGCCTGAAACGGCCTGGGTTCCTGGTCGCCATCCGGTGAGACAGCCATGGCGGCGTCCACTGCGGCAGCCGGCACTTCTCCGCTCAAATCCGTCTGAAAAGACCGCGGCAGCCTCGTCATGGCCAGGATCTTGGCGATATCCAGTCTTTTTCCCGAACGCCTTCTGTACATTACCTTGATCATTTTCAACGTCTCCTCAAAGTGATCGTCGTCGACGTCGTCGTCCACTAGCTTTGAGATTAATTTCCTCAAGTCGTCGTCCATTACCTTTGCAACGGATTTTCTAGCGTCGTCGCCGCCGCCCCTAGTGAGCCGGTTTGTCGCCATAACAGCATGAATAGACACCCGCCCGTAGGGCGGTGTCCACAATGGTACTGGTGAAGCAACAGCTGTGCTATCTGTCGGCTATCGTGCTGCAATTAGGAGTTAAGACACTGCGTCACTTGACGTCTAGTCTTCAGTCGGTGTTTTTAGATACACATCACTGAGTCTCCGTCACTGCCTCTAAACTTGAATTACAATCGACCCTGGCCACAATTTCCAGTCTCCAATAAGTAACTCCACTCTCCAGTCAGCATCTTCAATCTCCAGACTCCAGTCTATACCTTCGATCTGCAGACTCCCAGAAATCACCTCTAGTCTCCAGTCAGTACCTTCAGTCACCCGTAACGACTCGTAACATAACACCGTCCTCTCTTCACGGGCCTGCACACACCACTGCACGGCATACAGAGAAATGGGTAAAACCGGTCTGCCGCTACAACACCATGGATCGGTAACCCCGCAGAATACCCGCTGTGTTGAGTCACCGTCGGATAGCGCGGCCACTTCCAAGAAAACTGATCCCTGCTAAGGACAGCCCGCCGCCGCCGTCTAGTCAGACAGCGGCCGATACCAGCAAAGTCCGAACGGCAGTTACATGGCCTGAACCAGCCGCGGCTAAGCTGGGCATCGGCCAATAGCGTCCGGTATCGGTAGAACGGTCCAGGGTGGTATTAGCCGTTTTCACGACGGCCATCTGGTACACATTTGGTGCACATCTGGTGCAGATTAGGTGCAGATTTGGTCAAATTAGGTTCAGTGTCTCTCAGTAGCTATCAGCTAGGGTTGTACTAATTGCTTATATGGCTGCTTTGGCATATTATCATAGAGCATCATCGATTAAAACACTGAAATAAATTCATAAAATGAAGATATTTGCTGTAAAAGAAATTAGGTGCAGATTTGGTCAAATTAGGTGCACGCGCCGGATAGCCCGTCGTGAAAACGGCTACTGTTGACCAAGAATCGGTCTTGGAAAGAATGGTGTAGGGGGTGGTTTGCAGAGCGCGGCTGGCCGACTTTACCGCGGAATGTCGGTATTGGTATTGTTAGCCCTGGCCTGGCGCCTTCTAGCAAATATCTTCAATAAAACAACCTTAGTCCTTATCTATGACTGGTTGCCTTTAACCCGAACTCTTGCTCATCCGTATAAGCATTCGGACGCAGCCGCCGGCACAGGAAATGTGCCGTAGAAAAAATTAAGCTGGGAAAAGTGATTACGAGTGAGCGGAGCGAGCGAAGTCTTACGTAGCATAGCAGATATTGCCGAGTATGAGCGGCCGGCCGGCCGACCGTGGTCACGCTTTTGCGAAGCTTGTCTCCGCAACCACTGCATTGGTCTGCCTGTCGCCATCCCAGCTCCCCGCCCTAGCCTCTGACCGAAGTTCCTGTTCCGTCCCGGACTTCCTCTCCCACTGCGCTCATTGACGACAGAGGAACGAATGATCGGAAATACATACAGACAGCCCGGGACAGATGGGACAGACTGAGCTGCTGACGAGCGGACGAGATCGACAAGAAGCGCATGCTATTCATTCAACATTCAAATTCATGCTGAAACAGACACATGACAATTTAAGCTGTAGGCAGACACAAGCACAGGGGCGCAGGCATGCACAACTGTTGGTATAGTTAGCGTGCGTTTATTGACAGCAAAGCACACACAACTTCCAGAGCTGCGTGCGTGTCAACACCGTGTGGAGAGGTTACGCGTATTTATCCGCAAGTGCTGAAGCTCTTTTCAAAATGTTTCCCTCGTGTCAGTCTTAACCCTCGCCGGACCTATTGGTTTTCTACATACGCGCCGGCCGAGGGGGGGGGGGCGGGTACGACCCCCCCTCGCCGTTTCGCCCCTGGTGGAGCTAGCGCGTCGCGGAAAAAACGAGCGTGTGCGCCGTTACGAGACGCAGAGATTGGTACCCGATTTTAAGGTCCTAGGTCAACCGGTGACCTCTGAGGTCAGGTCAAGTGCCCCAAGGTACGGTTCAGTTTTTGGTGAATAACTTCGCAAAAAACGGCCGCAGAGCGCCGATTTTGGCAGCATCGTGTTCACCTCGCTCAGGCGCGTCGAATGATATACTTTTTGTCCGGGTGAGGTCAACTTGGGGTGTTAACCTCAGGTCAAGGTCAGGTCAGCACCCCCAGGTCACGAAGTTGGTCGAAAGAGGTCATGTCGCATATCATTCGATTCGGCAGGCCTTCCTGAGTCCATTGGTGCCTTCCCCGACTCGCTAGCTCAATTTGATCAAGAGTTATTGACGAAAAACTAATTTGACCTTGATGACGTCATAAATGACGTCACGCAAGGTCAACATTGCAAAAGTGACGCATCTAACCTTGCAAGGAGTGCATCAAATCACGATTCTGTGTGCTTGAGATAGTTGGAGATCGTTCCCGGCGCCAGAATAGCAGTTTTCATTTTTCCCCATTGACTTATAATGGTGAGGTCACGAAAATGACCTGACCTCATATGACCTTTAGGAAAAATCCGAGATATACAAGTTGTGGGACTCATAATGGATACTAGATCCTGCAAGTTTCATTTCCCTGTGACATCTCCTCTGGCAGTGAGGGCGTTGCGAAGTTGCGACATCTGAAGACCGTGCAGAGGTTCACTTATGACGTCATAGGTCAGTGACCTGACCTGACCCAAAAATGCGGTTGGTGTCAAAAGATGCGGCTTGGATCAAAGGTCAGGTATGCCAAGTTTCAGCTCTCTATCGCCAGCGTGTTCGGAGCTATCGCGAAAAAACCCTATGGGGGGGGGGGCGGCACCCGCCCCCCCCCCCCTCGGCCGGCGAGGGTTAAGTCATAGAAAGCCGTCGCAACCACCCATTTTGTTGAAAGATCGCCCAAGGATGTTTAGAGGCGCTGTGCTCAAAGACAGTGTAGGGATTCGGAAGGACGGCAAATTCTGATGAATTATTCGAGCGCCTGAAAAAAATACAAATGGGGATCCCTGCATTCACTACATCATTTCCCCTCAGTCATTCACTCTTCGTCCACTACATCAATTCAATGCGGTGTGTCCCAGAAAAGTTACAATGTGCAATGGTCTCGGGAAGAGTGACCTAGCACGCAATAGTCCAACAGCAAGACACCCGCAACCTTGTCATAAAAGTGATTGCCTCAAAGGACCTCAGAGCATCGGATAAAAGGGCATTTCTTTTCGAGACGTTCGCAGGAAACCGTCACGTCGCCAGCGTGGCATCACTCATACAGCAAGCATTAATGATCCCCAGCCAAATAATCTTATTTCCGCACCAGATAAATGCAACCTTCCTCATAACCTGCGCTGATTGCAATTTTGGCGCCCGACACTGGAACTAAGGACCTGGGAGCCCTTCCTACCTTCAGCGCCGTGCAATGCGAGCTCTCCTGCTGCTCAGTCTCGGGTAGTTTGCTCAGCGAGTCATCGGCCACCGGCTCAGTAAAAGCCGGCCACGGGGTGTGGTGCTCGTACTTGGCAGAGCTGCGGAACAGCGGGTGTCCGCATTCGGCGCAGCCGTACAGACCTGGTGCAGCGCCGTGAGGTCAGGTCAGGTCGTCAGGAGTCACTGAAGGTCGCCAGGGATAAGGTCACCATGGATCAACAAAGGTCACCGCGGGTCAATGGAGGTTGTCTGAACTAGGGGTCGACGTAGGTCATGGGCAGTTGACAATGACATAGAAGGCTGACTGATTGTCACAAGTGACAAAGGAAGCCGGAAGTCAGCTGTGATCAACAAAGGTCACTGCGGGTCATCAGAGTCGGCACTCGCCCCGGTCAGAGTCGCCGAGACCGAATATCGAGACCGATCGAGTGACAGCGATCCGTAATTATCGCACAATGGGTCTCGAACCGGGCCGTCGTCGGTAGATTGCTAAAGCTGAGAGTACCACAGACAGCAGCACAAACAGAACATGCATGCAAATCCTGTCTGTGATAGGACAAACTATGGGCACAGTACACACAAACCAACACATGCAAACCACACACTGACAGACTGGACCTGTCCAACCATGCCCAGTTAACTAGCCAATATTGCGTTCTCCGCCCTGCAACTGCTACTGAAACGAAAAAATGCAGTAAATAGGTACAACACAGAGTAAGCTGGCTCATGCAATACCACAACAACACAACTAAGCAAGCAGCAGCAGCACACACATAACACAACATGTAGCTGGACCTTGAACGCTGTTGACGACTCCTTCCTCCTTTTCAGGGCATCTGCAGACACAGGCTTGGTGAAGGCTGGCCACGGAGTGTGGTGCTGGTACTTTGCCTCGCTGGGGAACAGCGGGTGGCTGCACTCGGAGCAGGCGTACAGACCTGGCGGGGCCCAGGGCGAACAGTGGTGGGGGATTGTCTCTGTCAGAGGTGGTCCAGTAAAGCCTGTTGTCTCAAAGTTAGTTGCAGGGCACCTTCAAGGCCTTGATCAGTTGGATTAGCACAGAAGAGGCAAATTTGGAAACTTACTAAGGTCAAACTAAAAAAAACTAAATCATTATTCCTACAACTTACAAGTCATAGATAACATGAATCATGATTCATGATTCATGTCATCGATATACAAGCTTATCCGTATCTTGTAACATTTATGAAGCAATATGTTATATTCCTGCATCACACTGGTCATTTTGAAATTTTACATGCCTAGCAACCTACTTAATTTGAGAGCAAATTCAGAGTTCTACCCATAGCCATCATTATTCCTATATACCTATGTCTTAAACTATGATGTTAGTGAAATGTAGGTTTGATACATACCATGTTCAAAATGATCTCTGTACTTTTCACCTCCAAACCAGGAGCAAAATGACATCTTCTTTATTTAAAGACCTGTAAAATGAGGATAAAAAGATAAGAATCTTTTTGTGGTCAGCCACTGGTCACACCAAATAAATTAAAGGAACCCTCCCAGCTCCCACCTTAAAAAAGTTAATGAATAGGAATTAAGGTAATGTAGCATGATTCAGAAAGAGCAAATATGAATATCTATTAAATTTCACCAAACATCAAACATCTAATATTGATATCTAATTATAGCCTTGGTTGTGAGTGCCAAAAACGGTAATTCAATTGCCAGCAAGCCAGGGACCCTAATTTGCCTATCTCAACTCAAAACAAATGCTATGGTGGGATGGCCACTTAAGCATAAAGCTTTTGTGTGATATTACCGTATAGAATTGACTATTGAGGATAATTGCCACACCGTCAACTGTTTCCACCGCCGCCACAGAAGCGTGATGCATCCAAGGCCGTATATAGGATGCATCTGTTTATTACATAACCTCAGAAGAAATGTTCTCGGACCGAGCCTGTTCTAAAGTGCTATAGATATGCTGCGGAAGGTGTCATGTGACCTCATGATTTGAAACTACAAACGCTATATCGAAACATTCTAAATATTTGGGTAAGTTTCCAGAGCATATTTCCGTCAAATAGATAAAAATCGGCAAAGCATTGGATCAAAATTAATGGTGAATTTCTGGGATTTTGTGTTTGTTGGTGAATGTATTTTCTACTTTCGAACACCATTGTACGTCTCTATCGCGCCATATTTCTATTGATTATCTATTTTACCTCTTAAAGTACAGACAATTTTTACATTTTCAAATGATCGGAATATCGGCTCAGTCTTCAGCATTTAGGCAGAAACAAGGCACAGATACTTCCATCTATTAGCCTTGGCTGAAAAACAGGCAACACTAGAGCCCTGGGTGATAAGATGCATCTGTTTGCTAAGCTGCGTTCCACAAAGTTATCCAGTTCGTCATTGTTGACGTTGAACGACTCGAGTCGAAATGAATCGCGACGCATGAACCTTACCTCTGTTGACCCCTGCAAGATAACTTATTTTTAGATTACAAGATTACAAGATTTTACTCGGCCCCTGCACAGATCCGTGGCCCTTATCAGTCATACCTTGGCGATTTAATGGATCGAGATGCCCATGGGTAAGGTAAGGCACAAGATATATCCTTCGAAATAAATGAACCCGGACTTAGGACTTTTTCACCAGACAGGTTCATATAAGGCTTTCACTCATATATTTGATTTATCACACACGGGGTGCATATAGTGATCGCTGTGTACGCAATTTCGACGATTTATAATCGTGCCGAAAAGTGCAAGCACGTTCAGAAATCAAATTCAGTGCAAAAACGGTGCACCAAGGCCAACCAAGGCCCAAGCTGCGGAGCGTCTGCTCGATCGAGCGACACACAGTTTTATCCGTTATCGCCAATATCACAGCACCCTCGGTGACGTCATACCGAGAACAGTACCCCTTCTGACGTCACAGCTCGGCGGCGGCAGGAGATTCAGTCATTTCAAGTTGCAGCCCGAACATACGGAGCTCCCTACTGAGCAGAAACATCAGGAAGCGCATGGTTGTTCACAATTGGGGATCCAAAGAGCGCACTCGGCTAGCGAAGAACCCCACAAAGTCGATTTTGACATGGAATTGACAAATTTAAACATCAGAGTAGGCTAATAATAGACGGCGAAATACACTTCCCGAAACAAGAACAGAACCACTGCTATTTTGACTTTGACAGAATTCGCATGATCCTCATCTGAGCGGGATTTAGCAAACGTACAACGGGACATCACGTAAGGCGCTGTGTACACCTCAAGGCGATGTATAACCTAAAACCAGTGTAAAATACTGTTCCATAATTATGCAATGCATTTCACCAAACACCCAACCAACTAAGCATAACCTAGCATCCTAACAAGCATAAAAATAAATATAAACCGCTATATTTAAACTATGCTTTACCCGGAATGCTAATACAAGCCGTTATTTAAACACACCACCCCAAAATAAAATAATGTGTAAGACTCGCTTCTTAAGCGTATGCACCAAATAAAATACGCATCACCCCTTCTATTAGCTTCCAGCGATTAAAGCTTCGTCAGTCACTAGACCCTAAAATCAGTCACCCGTGCGTGTAAATGTGCGTATCTGTCTATCCCACAGTTTTCACCAATGGTTATAAATCACAGTAGCCTCTCATTCACAGCTAAACCCTTCGCATTCAATTGCCCCCGTGACTAGTCGTGAATTTGATGTCCCGTGTCACATCCTTCTGAAATACTGTCACAACAGCGGTGAGTCCGTTACGCAAAGATGGTGCCAGCTATGCTAAACTAATCACCCCACTCTTGACACCACTCTAGTTTAAACGCTATCGCTGCTTCGCGCTTTGTCGATGCCTCTTGACTCGAAGAGGCTGCTTTGCACAGTTCGAATGTTTGTCTCGGAATGGTTCGTTACTTCGGTCTTCTTCGATATCTCTGGTGTCCTTTCCACATTCCCTCGAGCGGACTAGCACCAGAGGCGACCAATCATGACGCTTCATCGCCATCATCAACCAATCAACGTCCGCCACGTTACACTATTCTGCCGGTCAAGGTAGCCTCTGGACGGACTTCGTCGCCCCTTCTTGCGTAGAAGGAAGGTAAATACTGACGTTTCCTTCACCTATGGGTTGCGTCTGGTATAAAACCGGCAGTTCGAGCCACCCCGGCGTGAGATTCCTCAGAGCTGCTGCGTTGTGCGAGCTGCCGTCCGTCGCTCGAGCGTACTTCAGGCAGCATGGTGTGAAGTTTGGTGCAGTTTCGGTGGCTGCTACACGGCAAAATGCGTCCTGCGAAAACCCTCGGCTGGAAAGAAGAGAGCCAGTAATGTCAAAGGGCTGCAGTATATTGTGGAATTAAGGGGATCTGTATATATTCTTGTTGTTCATTGGGGTTTACGGGCGCGTCGACTGCGGTGGTCATTTTGCGCCCATAACGCTGATCTGTATATATTCAAACTACAACGAATTCCCTTGCTGAATCTATGGTCATGTAAAAGTCCCTCAAGTCTCAACAGGTGTCGCTTGTTGTACGCTCAACCTAGATACCTATCCCAGCACAAGCAGCCATTTTATAGCAAAGCAGGCATACCATCACCTTAGCGAAATTGTCGAACGAACGTTTCTAAATCCTCCCATTCGTGAATCAATGTGACAAAACATCTCAAAACAATCGCCAACCTCAGTGCTGTAATCGCCCCTCGCCGGCCCCTTCCGCCACCCTCCTTCCCCGCTCCCGGTCTCACCGATGCCGTGTAGCACGTCCTTGGCCTGCTGCTCGTCCAGCGCCTCGAACACGTGGCAGTAGAAGAAGCGGGCCATGTTACATGACGTCTCACTGACGACGATGGAGGAGAACAAGACGTCAGAATGGTGTAAAAGGGACAGTTTTGGCATTACGAGAACGACATGGGAAGGGCACTACATAGAAGAGCGCTTATTCCGAGAGCACTACGGCGTTCGAAGATAGTAAATCGGTTAGCGCCGGAATGGAGTGTGGACAATAACAGTCATACAGAGGTCGCTAGCTGTCCCAACTGGTGTCACTGATGATCGCTAACTCGACTTATAACTGAAGACCACGAGCTCGGCTTCAGGTGACTAGCCACAGTCATTGAGACACTGACCGACCACAGGCTACTGATCGCATCAGGAAAGGTCATCGACCCGGTCACAGATCACTGGGGAGTGACGGACCCGGCCATAATAGACCACAGGGCACAGACCGACCACAAGTCAACGATCCAACGGTGGAACACCACTGACCCGGTCACTGATTGTCACTACGACGTGTCACTGAGTGTCACTGACCCAGTCACTGAGTGTCACTGACCCGGCCACGTAGGCGAAGTACCGGAGTCGGTCGTTCCGCCGTCCGCAGGAGGCGATCTCCGTGTAGCTGTGTTTCCGCACCACCTCTCCGGAGGCCCGGTCCACCAGTGTGACACCCATCTCGCCGAGCACTAGCTGCACCTGAGAACGACGACACCAGCGACATTAGTGCCACTATAAATCCTTCAAACATATCAGCATCGTCACTACAGCCCAACAAGCACCAATCGGCAACATTAGATAAACACGGACTGGACAGTTCAGTTCAGCTACCTGACAAATTAGGTAGCATTCTACTTAAGTAACTCATTAACTAATTCACTAACGAAGTCGGGTCCAACACAACTGCAACATACCTAAATCATATTGAAACAGAGTGGACACAATAATAGATTTCCATCTCGTTCCACACCACCAATCCCTCGTATCCTCTCCCGATCGTCTCTCCCCGATCCCTAGTATCCTCCCATCCTCCCATCATCCATATCCCATCCTCTCCCTCCCATCATCCTCACCTGTTGCGTCTGCGGCTGGTTCCTCAGCACATTCTCCACCCCCATCTCGATCACCGTCACGTCTCCTCTATTCCCGACAAACCCCGCTCCGAGGTATGTCACGGGCGCTCCGGCGCAGTAGGGCGCCTTCTCGTCGGGCGGTTCCGGATCGTCGGGCAGACGGTCGAGCCGGTCGGCAGAGGCGGCTAGCCGCCGCCGCTGCGCCGCCCGCGACTGGTAGGCGGCGGTCAGCTGGGCCAGGTCCAGGCGGAGAGACTCCAACAGCGGGATGGCCGGTGGGTAGAGGTCTCCCGTGGCAGAGTGACACTGCGGAAAGGCAGAGTGTGAGCGGGTGTGTAACGGTAACGAAGGGACGGGAGGGAGAGCGATAAATCAAACGATAGAGTCGTACCAGACGCGACAACAAAAGCCGACTCATGAACACGATAAATCGAGATGATTATTATAAATTCCGGAAGCAATACTTCAAATACTTACTCGTCTCTACAAATCGTCGTCACACTTCGATTGGTTGCGTATGTGCAGGCGGAACCTCAAACGCAGTTAAACATCGACCGAACCTGACTCAGCTAATAACTCCCCCTCTCGAGTCTACACTCCACCCCCGCCTAGTTCCCCTTTCACCACCCTGCCGCTGCAGTTCCACCGCAAGATCGAATCTCCCCGACTTACCTTGACCACGCTGATGTAGATAGGCATACCCTGGTACAGTTTGAGCAGAGCCGACACCCTGCCGCGCCGCATTCCGTAGCAGCACTCGGCATACAGCTCGTCCACTATGTCACCGGGCTCGATATTGTCCTGTGATCGGGGGGGGGGGGGGAGAGGCACACATGGTTGGTTGCGTAAGTACACATGCTACACATGATACTCTGTGGATCGTGGAAGGGTCGGGGCTAGCATGTGCGGTCCTTTTACACGTCGTTGGTCACCCAATTCGTTTAAGGTGTTGTGTGCCTAAGAAAGCACTAGTATATGACTGGAATTAAGGTAACAGGCATAACAGAGCAAAGTTGGCAATAAATCAGAAGCTATGGAGACCACTTTATCGTCATTAGCGCTCACACAACTAAAGAACCTTCAAGGTCAACGGAGAATCGATACGTAATGGCCACCTCTTGTCCAGTCCTCTTTCCACGCCCGTCCCAGCCCGCTCCCCGTCCGGCGATCACCACTGACCTCCTCGGCGGCCACCGAGTTGGGCTCCACGTCTACCACCAGCACCCGCGACTTGCAGAACCTGACGGCGGCGGACGAAAAGGGACGGGTTAGAGGTAAGGGTAAGGGAGAGGG